CATGTGTCATATCTGTTTTTATATCTCATATCTCTTCTGCCAATTATCTTCACAGCATACTTAATTCTGTAACTTTTGTATTCAGGCTACAGTTTTCTCCAATCAGTACACATATAGGTATGATAATATCACAGTGTCACTCTAAAACAGGGCTGTCAAATTCCTGGCCCGCAAGCCGGATGTGTCACATGCTGGCTATCCCCATGCCTAGTTTAGTGATGACATGAGTTTGACACCTCTGCTCTAAAAGAACTACATTCTTATTTTAGTATTTCTTCAGTAACACTATAATTTCCTTAATATTTTAAAAAACATTTTCATAGCATTTACTACTTCCTTTATCATCCTTTTTTTTTCTTGGACACTGAATTTCTAATGTTTATTTTGATTAATTTCAATTCCTTTATTTAATCCTTTCTTCGGCATCTTATTATTACATAAATATCATTGAAAAGGATATCATCATCTTTGTTTTTAATTCCATTCAGTGTTCAGGAGGCTCATTTATCTTTCTATATTGACTTTCAAAACAATCATTTATTTCCATCAAAATCACTCTGTATTTTCTTTATCTTAATAACTCCTTGTTCTTCTTGATCATATTCTTTGCAATAATCTTTTTAACTTCATACATTTTGCACAATATAGCTTTATTTCATTATCATTGTGATAGCATTCTGTGCCATGCTTTTTTTCTTATCCACATCCTATTTCACTTCATCATTCCTCTAAGCACCTTTTATCTTATATATCCCATTTAGTATAACTCCCCTTGCCATGCTAACCTATGAGATAGTCCTGGTCAAGAAACAGACTCCATAAATCTGACTAGACTCATACTTTGTTGATATATAGACTATAGTAAACAGAAACCTGAACCTCTTGCTTCACCTTATACTATAGTGAATTAGGGAGGAGTCAAATCTAAGCTTCTTTCTTACACTTTCAATATTGCCAGGCTTAAAGTATGCTTTTGTTTATGTCGCCATTGCTCCTTATGCCTAGCTTTCCAAAGATCACCTAGTTCTCTACATCAACAGTCATAATTCTCTTAATTTTGGGGTCTCAAAAAATGTCTGATTACTTTTACTACACTGCTTCATCTTGTTCTTACCCTTCCATCCATTTGTGTCATCTAACAGTATAACATTCCCCCCCTGGATTTCAGTTGGAATGTTTAATCATCATTTTTTTTCAGAAGTCATCACTGGTTCTTCCCGTCTTACCATTTGCTAGAGCACAACCTGCAACTATCACCAACTTAAGGATTTTATACTTTCAGCCACACCCATAATAACCTAGATGACATCATGTCAAACTTTTTAACACGTAGGTAGGCTATTTCATTCATAATACATGAATGAAACTTTTCCATTCTAGTTTGTGTTTCCTGTGTCAAAATTATGTGAAATTACACCATTTGATTTCCACAGCAGGAATTATACAGAATTCTCAAGGGTTACCAAATCAAAACCAAAACTGGTTCATAAGGTGTGTCAACTTCCTGCATATATCATTTTTATATTCTAATAAAGGATATCTATGTCAAAGCTTGGTATTTTATTTAAAACATACTTGGTTGAAAGACAAAATATATGGTCTCTAGCAACCTTCATATAAGTCAGCAGATGGCAGTCCAATACTGTATTTTAAAACACATGAAACTACTCCTTTCCCTTAATTATCAGTTATAAGAATACATTCTACATACATTAAACACTTGACTGGTTCGTCTTACAGTCAAGACTAGAAATGCTCGGGGGTAAGTACCCACTCAACATCAAAATAATAATAAAACTCTTCTGTAGTTCCAAACCCAGAATTTAGACTAATTTATTTTTGCTGTTGCTGAACACAGCAATTTCACATAAAAGTTAAGGATTCAAGCCGAGTAGATGATGATGATGATGGTTTTATCCCAAAGATTTAAAACAGGAAGGTACAATTTAGTGTAGTGTTGGACCACATTTTAATTTTTTTTGACCCTGGTCAAAGTCAGAGCCTTGATATTAAATAGGAAGCAGAGCCTTGGTATTAAATAGGATGAATAAGGAGAAAAAAAAATCCAAACAATTAAGGTCAACTAGAAGAAAAATAATGGTAAACAGAACATTTTTTTTCATTAAAGTATTCAGAAAAATTCAACACGGAAATAGTTTATAAACATTACACTGATTTCTAATGGAAAACCACATTGCTGAATTTTGGTGGTGCAATCAGATGGGCCTCCAGGGACTGCAAATAGTTGGGAACCTTCATTCTTTAGATTTTTTTCCCCCTGTAATTCAATTCAAGCAAAGGTATTTGCCCTACCCTGTGGTTTCTTCAATGAAGACCACACACAAAATTGTACTGTTCTCGGTATCCTTTCCTTACAAGAGTTGTCATGATAGTCAAGATACCTTTAATTAGTTTGCTACTTTTGTTGTACTTTTTTTAAAAAAATGTTGGTTTAAATTATTTGAGTGAAGTACAAAAAAAGAGATATATTTGATTGCAGGCTTGGCTTCCTTTCTTCTGATTTGGGCTAGCTTTTCATATTCTTACGGTCCTTATTGCATTCTTATTGTTTCCTATTCTTTCCTTGACTTCCTTGTTAAACATGTTCATATAGGATATATATCTAATAGTGTGGATTTTGTTACTTCCATGATGTCAGCAATGACATTGCCCTTTTTACTTTTTCCAATGTTGAGGTAGTGGTGGAAAAGAATTTCTCCTTTCTGGACAATTATTCACATAGGTGTGCAAATATGTTGAGATTCTGCCCCTTATTTGCAGTATATTTTTAATATGGTTGATCTTTTACCGGGGAAAGAAAAATCTCCAGAAATATTCCTCTTGGTTTCCATTGTTTATTCAGTACTTTTGGCCAGAAGCTTCTAGTTTTATTATTGGAAAATGCTCTCCATTTTTATCTTTTTTTACAGTGTTAAAGTTATGAGAAAAATAATTCAATACCTAAATTGTCTGGGCTCTGTCCTTTGTGAGGAGCTCTTATTTCTATTTCTTATCAGTAGCCATGTCAAAACTAGACAAATTCTGAAGACAATTTAAGTATTCACATTTTAAGGAAAACAGTCTTGAAAATTCTGATTGAACTAGAATAAATGAAAATATGAAAGTGAAATGCAACTGTACCTAAATGGTCCGGCTGAGATCGGCATGTGGGCCTGATTGGGGTAGACTGTAGGAGTGATACAAAAATATAATTTTAAGTCATTTTATTCTGTTTATATATTAAAGTATTGTATTTTAACCTATAACTATTGTATTTTACCCTACTCTTATTTTAAATTGATTGTATAGGATTTTATTGGTAATAGGTGTTTGAATTTTGTATATTGATATGGCCTAAAGGCTAATCAATAAATAATAACTGTATCTAAATAGTTATGGTTTTATGTGTCCTATATGCTTTCATATGTAATATGCTGATATGTAATATTCACTTAAAAATGTGTGCTAAAGTAATTGAACTTTTGACCTATATTCTGAAGTGTCCTTATGAAAAATCATTTTAAAGTACCTTAGAAATTCAAACTGTTGTTTAAACGCAGGCGGATTTTTGCAAAGCTGCTTGCAAAGCTGCTTGAGAGTAGTTTCTAACCACACCTTAAATGCTAGTCATGGATTATGACTCAAACCTTTGCTTTTTAAAATTATTATTAGGACTGAAACAAAAAACTTGTGCTAGAAGCTAGAATGTGAATGCTACTGAAAAGCAATAATTTGACTGGTTTTAATTGCATAGGCAGAATTGTTCAAAGAAAACTGACAATCAGTTCAAGAGCACAAAGCTATTACTAGGTTTGAGTGAGGGTTAAAGTAGTTAAGGTGTAAATCTCCAGAAAGGGAAAGAAGAAGCCCCATTCCTAATATTGGATATTTTCCATTATGTTCTGTTACGTTCAGCTTTGTATTTAACTTTATTACAGGGTTTGGAATTCAGGTATGAAAAGGGTTTTCGCTTCCTTTTATACGGGGTAGAAGCAATGTGGTTTATTCTTCAGCAGGGCACATCCATGTCTCTCAAAGTATTCCATAATTTTCGTATTAATATTGCTTTCCAATTATTTAAATAGGACAGACATTAAGCAAATCAGCTTGTAATTTTTATTCTGCTGGCATAATAACTAGTCTTGTGAAAAGGAAATTTCAAGAAACCCCACATTCTTGTTCATCTGAACCTTATTTATCTATGTCCTCTATTCTAAGACTTCCCTATTTACGGGAATTCACCTAGCATCTGCCTTATACAGCTGCCATTGTTGCCTGCTCTTATTTTCTGTTTGTAAGCTTCAATCTTAGAATTAATGAATAAGAGAATAAAAAATAATAATAAAATATTCTGATAGTCACTGCTATCGGTCATTTATGTATAACATAATGGCTTATGTTTCTTTAATCATGTGAATACTGGGATTATTCAACAAGGAAACAGCAAAAAGGTGACGGGAAAGCAGCTCCTGATACCTTACTAGTGCTGCATTGGGTTAAAATGTGCATATTATAACATGGTAGTCCAACCTTTTGGATTGATTGCCTGGGCCACATTGAGTGAAGAAAAATAGTCTTGAGCCACATATAAAATATATAAGATAGTTAACATATGCAAATATTGCCAAAAACATATGTTAAATGTTTACAATCTTGTGGGGCTGCAAGCAGCCCGTGGGTTGGACTTGCCTACATCATAATCTGAATGCATCTTCTTTTTTAAAATGTCACTTCCTCACCTGGAGTCAGACCCACTGAACAGAATACAACTTGCTTCTGAATCAGCTTGCATTCAATTGTGCTAATATGGCAAAAATTTTATCTAATCTTGCTTTGCCAATGTGTTTGACTGTAAGAGTCCCAACAGTTAAGCTGAATACAGATGGTCAGCAGTGTATCTGGAGGGCACCAGAGAACTTTGTTACTCATACATTTAATTTTTCTCAACCTGCTTTCGGCACACATTGCATGGGGAGACAGGAGGGGAATCAGCAGTGAGAACCTACCTCTGTATTTCTGTATATCTTTGTGTTTCACTGTTACATTTGGAAGAAAATGAAGACTGTTATCATCCCAATGTCTTATTCTTTTGTTCTATAAATAATGCTAGAAAAGTCTCTCAGAACTGCCAATGTATATAAAAACGTAAAATTCAATAATGTTTGCAATGAAAACATCTATTTTTGTCTGTTAAGTCTATTCTAATCTGTGCCTACCGTTATATCAATTTATATTTTATTATCATTCTAATCCCAAGACTTTAGGAAGTTTGCAATATATCATCAAAAATATATTATATTGGTCAGCTGCCGATATAATGTGTAGAAGCTGACTACATATATCCTTTTTCCTAATATTGCAGAAAAAAAAAAACCAATCTCAGATGCCTTAGTTATTTTTTTATTATTTAAATAAACATAAACCCTTCTGAGTTGAAAAAAAGGCAAAACAAAAACTAAAAGCAAAACAAACACAGAATATTTAACACAGAGGAAGAAAATAACGTCATTGAGGGTAAATTGCATATTCCAAGTATCAGGTAAATGTTATGTGACCAGGTATTATATTTCCATCAGACGGAGAAAAAGAAACACCAAAGTGTTTATCTGTATTATCTGACGTACAATTAGGGATTTTTAAAAAGCATATAAAAGCAATATGCTTTGATTGGGTTCTATAACTTCCTGCTAGCCATCAACTCAATAGTGTTCTAGACTTTTACAAAATAAAGCTCCTTTACCATTTCCCCTTCTAACTTTTCTCATCAAGAACTAATCTACACATCCCATCAATGGATGTAACAACACTACCCTGCTACTCTATCCAAATCATCTAGGATTAATTACTCATAGTAAAGATAAATAGAAAAAGGAGTTAATATACAGATTGCTCTATTTTACATGTTTGCATCCAAGCTGTAAACATATGTCCTTCGGATCTGATCACTTTTACCCTCAGATATGTACTTACAAAAAAAAAGATATCCTTTAGATATTAAAGGCATGTTATTCAAAACATTACAATGAAGGCAAATAATTTTATCAATTCCATCTCAAAAAAAGAAAAAAAGAAAAAAAAATATGAGTCTGGAACTACCTTCCATCTATCCTACTTACCCATCACCAGTCTTTTCTACATAGCAACTTCTTTCATTATCTACAGGGGAACTTAACCACTGAAATAATAATAATATTAATAAACTTATTCTTCATCTCAAAGTAAACTGTCAAAGCCCAGAGAAGAAATATAGTTGATTTTAAGACAACAGTTCATTTGAAATCAGAATTCCTTAGCTTATGCATTTAGATGCAGTCCTTGAATAACATGTGAACATTAATCAAGAGGTCCTTGGAAAATAAGTCTTATGTAGCCTTGTTCACCAGAAAGCTGATGTGCACAGAACGGACATGCTGCATGAAAAGTGTGGGTACCATGAGGAAGAGGGATTTGAGACCAGTAGGCTGTTGTCTTTTCTGAGCACACATGTCCACATGGGCTGAATGCATGAGTTGGAGGCCCTGCATCCACATAAAATCCAGCTTCACATCCAAGCCATAGAGGCACATACGGACCAACAGACCGGCACATTGGACATTCCCGATCCTTGCCATCTCTCTCTTCTTTATTCCCCCAGTTATGATATCCATGCACATGGCCACAGTTCAGATAAACCCACGGTTGCTTTTCATCGACAACATCTTTCCTCTTCATGCTGGGAAAGGCTAATGTGTTAAAGCCCACAGGGCACTGAGGCCGGGCTGCATTGATTTCCTGCCTGAGAGCTTCCAGGTGCTTCACTGTTGGAGTGCGTGAAAGTCCTTCTGCTGTACGCCACAAAAGTGTGGCTCCACAGAGATCAATCAGTGAACCATCCTGGAGTTGGTTGGTTTCATTTTCAACCTGGAAAAGTAATATAGAATTCATGAAATATACAGAGTTCTAAAAGTAATCTCATTTCAAAAAGCCAGTTATTTTGTTCTTATATGTCTCTTACATAAGAAATGATAGTGGATGTCTTAACTATTATGTCTAATAGTGGAGAAACCAAGTAACAACACTGAAATAAGTGAAATATGAGAAACTTCCCTGCAGAGATTTGAACTTAAGAGAGTAAGGGAATAATTACAGGAGTGACCCTCCATGAATGAAATTAATAAGCTTCCTTTCATAGTAGTGAATTCTCCAGCTATCAGTTTAGTTCTCCATAGGGAGCATCACAAGGAGGAGTAGAAACTCACATGACCAATCATCTAGTTTGGGAAGATGGTATTGCCTAAAACTGGAGGCTGTGGTAAAGCAAAAGCATGCTAAAAGATGAAATAAAATTGTAAATTATGCTTCTTGATTCAGGCAACCTTCCAATACACAGGGAAGAAACGAGAAGGGGAAGAGAAGCCAGGAAGAGCCAAAGGTGCAATTCTCATGCCCCAATGCATTTTTACCAACCCCCACCCTTACCCAAACTTTGCCTGGGATCCTGATACTCCCTGCAGGATAGCAACACCCTTCTTGTAACTCTCTGCTCCTGGGATCCTGGAAGGGAGTTGGTCAGCAAAAGGAAGGGCTTCTGGAGATTCTTTGTAAGTAAGCATTCCCACTGTCTTCACTGATCACTCTTTCCCCTGGAGACAGCACTTTCCTTCATCACCATTTTGCTGGATGCACCTATCCCATCTACCTCCTTTGCCGTCACCAAAAACAGTGGGAAAGCCTGCTAAAGCCAGTCCCTGCACAGCCCAAGGCAGGCATTTCTCCACACAACCAGGCAAGAACCCAGTGCACCTCCCATATGGGCAAATCTCACCAAGCCAACAGAGAAAAGGGAAAGCAACCCTTCCCAACCTAGCTAACCATTCCCTTCAGTGTAGTTTGCAACTCCTGCACTGAATCAATACAGAAAAAGGCTTCTCGTCACATTTGGAAGCAAGTACTTAAACTAACCTAATTTTGTGTGATCAGGTTGGAAAAAATCTCCCCTGCTTCACCAACTGGCTCTCAATCTCCACGGGAGTCAGTCACCTGCTTGAGAAAGTCTGTCCTTCTTGTACTTACCATTTTGCCCCTTTGCTGAGCAGATCTTGTTTCGCGAAGACTGAACACATTCCCACATACAGATATCTCTCTCCATACCCCTGGCTTTGAGTCTTCGGTGAACCCATTCCGTGGATGCATGACAAGGACTCCATTTGTGGTTAATCCATCCATTTGTCCATCAGGTGTTTTCCACTTGGCAGCTTTTTCCTAGAGGGAGATAACAAATGACTAAAAACTGCTTTGTAGTTCTTAATATTTGAAGTTTTTGAAAGCAAACTGAATTTTTACATTTGCCTTGAGCAGTAGAGGGAAACAAGCTCCTTACCCCTAAGAAGATATTTTTGGAGGAGTCAAAGCCGGCAGCATATATTCTTGCTGTGAAAGGTGGATTTCGTTCACATATTATCCTGCAGGCAAACCTTGAGATGGTGCTTTGGACAGACTGAGTCTCTGAGTTGCTCTGGCTTCCAGGAACAGTATCTGTCACTACAAAATCTATAGGACTTTCTGTTGATCTCCCAATCTAGCAAAAATAAAATGAATTTAGATTTGGTTATTGAAGTAATTATAAAGTACTGGTATTTGTATCAAACCAAAATGGAATCTTTCATTTATACACATATACTGCAAACATCCAATGTTTTGAAAACTACACACCTGTTATTTCAGCATTAAGAACCAGTTAAAAGAATGTAGAAATTTGAAACAGGCCCAAAACGGGCCGAAAACAGGACATGCAGGGGCATAGGGGGTCCACGCACAGCCCCTTTGTTTTTGCCCTCCATGGCCTACTGCAGCACTCCATGTGGCCTGTTTTCGGCTCGTTTTGGGCCTGTTTTCAGCTGGCAGAGTGCTGCAGGAAGCCATGGAGGCGTATGGGGGGGCATATGGCCTATTTTAGTCACCAGAGGCACCACGGGCTGGTTCCCTTGATATTTCCAGGCTGGTCTGCGGGCCTTGAGTTTGACACCCCTGCTCTAATTTCTGATATGCTGTGCATGAAAAATAATGGGGTTTTTTTGGTAACTTTTCTCAAACCAAGTACAAATTTGTGCACCACAATATGAGAATGAGAGTAAATTACAGATTTAATTAAGTAAATATATGCAACATAGATATTTATGTATTTCTTAAAGTATAAAAACTAGAAATAGCACATCATGTAAACACTTGGAAGGTGTTCTTCAAGTAATTTTGGACTCCTGGCAACTGTTCTCTCTACTTTTCTTGGCAGCAATTTTCAGAAATGACTTGGCAGGATTTTTTCCCCCTCTACTGGTAAGAGAATTGATTGCCTCAAGGTCACCCAGCTGGCTTTGTGCCCAAGGCAGGACTTAATTCACCATCTTCTGGTTTCTAGTCTGACACTTTAACCACTATACCAACTGGCTCCACACATACATATTTAAAGACTATACTATAAACTCACTGCAATCAATATTTTGTAAACATTTAAGTTTCTTTCTTTCCTTGAATGTGGTATCATAAAACAAGAAAAAATTAGAAAAAAAGAAAGCAAGGCATAACATAAAAGCATTTAGATCACCCCCTCTCTTTCATTTCCCTCATTCTTTTCTGCATGTATCCTGAAATTATATAAAGTTTATTTTTTTTAAATAAAGTGGATAACAATTACGGTCATACACAGACTGAAGCTCAATAGATATTAATTAAGCCTTTATTGGAAGCTGCAGAAAAATAAATTTCAATCTGTTTCAGAGGCAGTAGGGAAAATCTTTTTTTTTTTTTTCTGGACAGGGGAGGGAAATGTATTCCATTGGTTTTATTATTTGTTTTCTATAGATGCCGATCTCACAGAAGCAACCTGGCAAGTTTGCAATCAAGTAGATAAAAACAATGACAAACATAAGATAAAACAAAAATAACAACATAGTAGCCAAGCTTCACATATAACCATCAGCAAAGCCAAGAGGCTGTGCCAAGTTTTTAGGGCCTTATGAAAGGACAGGAGGGTCAGGGCTAACTTAATCTCAAGTGGAATGATGATCCTATAGGTCTGGTGTCACAGCACAAAAAGCCTTCCTCCTGGGCCATGTCAGCTGACACTCATGCCCCTCTGCTGGACCAGGTGGAATGGGCAGAAACAACATGAGAGACAGATTGTCTGGCAAGTAACCTGGTCCCAAGCCATAAAGGTAACTACCAGCACCTTGAATTGTACTCGGAAGCACACTTTACCAGTTTTGGAAAGATTTTTTTTTTTTGCAAGTAGAAGGAAAAGAATTTCAGAAAGCATCAAGAGAACACAGAATCCAACCTGTTTTGGAAAGGCAGGTCCACAGCAAGTCAGTTATCTTTGCAGGACTTCCTGCCTGCTGTTCTAGGGTGAAGAAACACAAGCTCACAGCCTAGTTTAACTTCAGCAGCACCACTGCGAGAGAACTCTGATCCCGTGGAGCTTTGGGTCTTTTGTGCTATGGCAGCAGCAAGCAATCCTCACTGCTCCAGCTAAACTGAGACAACAAACTTGTGCAGAACTCTAAGTGGACTTTATATAAAAGTTTTATGGTGACTAAATTTGTTATTTAGTTTTAAAATGTAATATTAACTATGCTTTATTTTTGTTTTATTTTGTTAAATATTGCCCAAATGTATTTTAATCTGGTTTAGGCCCTACTCAGAAGAGTTGAGAACTACATGTGGTCTTTGAATCTGTGTTTGACAACTTTTGGCCTAAGACACCACCTATATTCAATATATCTGGAATTTAAAATTAAAATTACCTAGTTGCACCACTATTCTTTGGATAGTATACAGACAGAACATATGTAGCCTATATAATGCAAGGTAAATGCAGCCTTTCTGAATGAAAACAATAGCCTAACAAAAGCTTATTGTTTTTGGTTAAACACAGAAAAACTTCGTGTGATAAGGGAACTGGCACTTTTCACACCCAAACCAAACATTGCCTTCAAAGAGACAACACAAGAATGAAGCAAAGCAGAACGTATTTCAGTGCAGCTGATTGAGTCCTTGTGTGTTACAAAGATATTTGTGTCCTTATTCCATTGTTAGTGTTGTTGCCAACACAGTTGACTTACAGCCACAATTGAGCTCAAAATTTATGTTGTTAAATGAAACATTTAAGTGAGCATTTTATGACGTTTCTTGCCACAGTTGTTAAGTGAAGCACTGCAATTGATAAGTTAGTAACCCGATAGTTAAGTGAAATCTGGCTTTCTCATTGACTTTGCTTGTCCAAAGGTTGCAAAAGGTGATCACATGACCTTGGGATAAAGCAATGGTCATAAGTATGAGCCAGTTGCCAAGCATCTGAATTTTGATTACATGATCGTGGGGATGCTACAAAGGCTGTAACTGAAAAAAAGGTCATGTCACTTTTTTCAATGCTATAACTTTGAATGGACACTAAATAAACTGTTGTAAGCCAAGGACTATCTGTAAGTTGTCTAAGTAGTCTAACTTAATTACATAATAAGTTGAAAGGAACAAGGGGACTTTTTTATAATTCACAATTATAGCTACGATCTTTGTAAACTGTTGCCTTTCACTTTCACAATCACGAAGAAGTAGTTGGAAGTATTCAACCAAAGCTTTTTAAGAATTGCTTTTATAATTCTCACTGGATTTGCATCATCTTTCTCTTCCTTTCCATTCCAAAGCATTTAAGTTGGTACTTATACCTGCCCTATTATAAAGCATTAAGAGTTAAGAGCTTCCAACTCTTAATCTGGTTTGGAAGAACCAAGAGTGAAAAGTTTCACTTGTTTACTTCTCTCACATTCTTCTTCGAAGACGCAGTGAAGCTTTAGTTATGTACTTGTATAGCCTCAGCAATGCACTCAAAAAGATCCAAAGTGGGTATTTGTTTTTAATAAATATATTGCTTTGGGTTATTTTACATGACTTGCTTACATTGCTCAAGTTTCTTACCCATAAAAAAATGACTATGCTAAGTAAAGTAAAGCTAAGTAAATGCCTCTTTTTGATATGGCTCTATTCTATATGCAAGGTTTTTTTTTAAAAAAAATCCTGGGAATAGATGAATATTTTGAAGGCTGAAGTGACTGATTTCAGGAAAATGTTTACCAATTTGTACTTTACATAGTATATCCTGCTAAGTTTCTAATGCAGCAGTATACTTCAAAACTAAAACACTGAGCACAAGAAAATGTGTTTATAACATTAAGTACACCGCTCAAAAAAATAAAGGGAACACACAAAATAAGACATCCTAGATCTGAATGAATGAAATATTCTTATTATATGCTTTGTTCATTACATAGTTGAATGTGCTGACAACAAAATCACACAAAAATTATCAATGGAAATCAAATTTAGCAACCCATGGGGGTCTGGCTTTGGAGTTACACTCAAAATTAAAATGGAAAAAAAACACGACAGGCTGATCCAACGTTGATGTAACGTCCTTAAAACAAGTCAAAATGAGGCTCAGTAGTGTGTGTGGCCTCCACGTGCCTGTATGACCTCCCTACAACGCCTGGGCATGCTCCTGATGAGGTGGCGGAGGGTCTCCTGAGGGATCTCCTCCCACACCTGGACTAAAGCATCCCCCAACTCCTGGACAGTCTGGTGCAACGTGGCTTGGTGGATGGAGCGAGACATGATGTCCCAGATGTGCTCAATTGGATTCAGGTCTGGGGAATGGGCGGGCCAGTCCATAGCATCAATGCCTTCGTCTTGCAGGAACTGCTGACACACTCCAGCCACATGAGGTCTAGTGTTGTCATGCATTAGGAGGAACCCAGGGCCAACCACACCAGCATATGGTCTAACAAGGGGTCTGAGGATCTCATCTCGGTACCTAATGGCAGTCAGGCTACCTCTGGTGATCACATGGAGGGCTGTGCGGCCCCCTAAAAAAATGCCACCCCACACCATTACTAACCCACTGCCAAAATGGTCATGCTGGAGGATGTTGCAGGCAGCAGAACGTTCTCCACAGCATCTCCAAACCCTGTCATGTCTGTCACATGTGCTCAGTGTGAACCTGCTTTCATCCATGAAGAGCACAGGGCGCCAATGGCGAATTTGCCAATCTTGATGTTCTCTGGCAAATGCCAAACGTCCTGCACGGTGTTGGGCTGTAAGCACAACCCCCACCTGTGGACGTCGGGCCCTCATACCACCCTCATGGAGGTCTGTTTCTGACTATTTGAGCACCCAAATACACATTTGTGGCCCGCTGGAGGTCATTTTGCAGGGCTCTGGCAGTGCTCCTCCTGTCCCTCCTTGCACAAAGGCGGAGGTAGCAGTCCTAATGCTGGGTTATTGCTCTCCTATGGCCTCCTCCACATCTCCTGATGTACTGGCCTGTCTCCTCGTAGCACCTCCATACTCTGGACACTACACTGACAGACACAGCAAACCTTCTTGCCACAGCTCACATTGATGTGCCATCCTGGTTGAGCTGCACTACCTGAGCCACTTGTGTGGGTTGTAGACTCCGTCTCATGCTACCACTAGAGTGAAAACGCCGCCAGCATTCAAAAGTGACCAAACCATCAGCCAGAAAGCATAGGAACTGAGAAGTGGTCTGTGGTCACTACCTGCAGAACCACTCCTTTATTGGGGATGTCTTGCTAACCTCCTATGCTTTCCACCTGTTGTCTATTCCATTTGCACAACAGCATGTGAAATTGATTGTCAATCAGTGTTGCTACCTAAGTGGACAGTTTGATTTCACCGAAGTGTGATTAACTTGAGTTACATTGTGTTGCTTTATTTTTACTTTGTGTTCCCTTTATTTTTTTGAGCAGTGTAGTTAAATGGAGTTAGTAAGTAGCTAATTCCTAAATAACTTATCCTTATATTGAGGGCCTTCATAGCTGACAAAATTAACAATCTTTGCAGATTCTTGCCATGATAGTACAATCTAAGATGACTTTATACTTTACTAAAACATAGCTATTTTTCTGGAAACTGATTTTAAAAGACTGTTTGCTTAAATGTAAATTGCAATATGTGGGAAAGTATTTTACATACACGCACGTACACACAAGCACTAGAAAGAGAATTCTCAGAAAGCATGTAATAAAGAATCCAAAAGAAATAATATGCATGAGGAATATATTATGTGAATATATTATGTGAAAAATATTAATCTAATTTTGATCAGATATGTTTTATCCAATTAAAACAAAAGTCTATCATTTAAAAGCTAGTATTTTTTTTTAAATAGACAAGCTATATATATTTAGGCAGCAAGTTGAGGGGCTAAAGTTTACTGTGAATTGAGTAACTTAACAGCAGATGTTGACTGACTGTAGACAAACAAGATCAAAACAGAGTTCTCAGATGTTCACCAAATGGATTTTTGTAATAAAAATGAACAGGAAGTACTTCCTTCCTGTTTCTACTAGCCATCTCTAACCTTAAATTCCCAGGTCTTTAGTTCAGGGAATAGAGTTTTGGAAGTTTTACCAGTGTACAGTAAAACTTTACTTTCTATTAGTACAACCACGATATTATGTTTCTAACATACATTTATACAATTTTATCCATATTATTCATCATTAATTTATGCAGTTCCCAGCACATGAATACTTTACATAGAATACCTGAAACATATCAGTGTTGCTGTCATGGGTATACTCAACCACCACTGTTTGCACTCGAGACAAGGTATAAGAAATGCTGTGCTGGTCCTTGTTGCTTATTGCCTAGTAAAAAGGGAAAAGAGGGGATATTTCAGCAATGTAAAACCATAAACTATATTGATTAGTAAAACTTTACACTAGAGTACAATCCTACTAGGTGAAATAACTCATGATTCGACATGGAAAATTTACTCCCATTTGATCTTACTTCCCCTAGTTATGTTATTTTAGTCAATAAAATAAAACAAAACCCTATAATTACTATAACAATCCTATTATATGTATCTTCAACTGTGATATTGAAGAACATGCACAATCAGGGAGTTGTGGCAGTTTCTTGGAAGAAAACTTTTAAAGATCATCTTCATAGCTAACCCTCAGCTTTTGTAGCTGTTCTTTTGTAAATGCAACAAAACCAGTAATTATTTGCATCTCTTCCCCACGTTTCCATCATAAAGGCAGTTGTTCTTCTGAGCAATTCTGCTAAATAAGCATGTTATGGTTGTTACTAATGCCATCTAATCTAAATATGTTGGTCCCTCCCTATTCTCATGCTGTGAACCAGTCACTCACAAATTGATGCCCTGCAATATGACTAACATCACTCTCACTCCCGCCATGTGGCCACTAGCTGTGACATTATTCATTACAAAGGAGACTTGAATAATATATATTTACCTACTCATTTTCTCCTTTATTCCTCGTGCCTTTGTGAAATTGAAAGTTTAGAAGATAGCTTTCTGAGTTGTAGATTTTACAAGAAATTCCAGCTCATAATAGAAAGAACCCAGGCTCTTCAGAGGCATGGTATTTACAATTTTTCCTAAATGATAAATGTCCTGAAACAATGCAATAGCTACATTTTTCACTCTGTTCAGACCCAATAACTGAAGTAAGTAACTGACTTAATCTTATTTCGTTGTACTGTCAGATTGTATATGGTTCTCTTAACTTTTATTTTCTGGCCTCAGACTGTAAGTTCACTCATTTATTCCTTATTGTGCATATTGTATAGTTTGGTCTTGTTAAATCAGTGTATCTGGATAACTTTGTGTTAAATAGGAATACTACACCTATTTCAGGCCAAAAACATAGATAAGGCTCAAATGCCTTATGTATTACAGAAATCAAATGATGTTTTCATGCAAGTATTTATTAACAGGGAATTTAATGCATGATTACACTGATTTGATGCCATTTTATTAGATATGTTCTATTTGTAACTATGTGAGAGAAGGAAGCAATATGTTAATGGCAAAGGTTCATACAATGGCTGATAAGGTCATAGCTCTTTACTTTAGGTTGCTTACATTCTTTATATCTACCCCATGACTGGCATACTATAGGGTTTCAAATAGACAGGTTTGCTATCTATCCAAATTACTATTAATTTTTGGTTCCCACCCACTTCTGGCACATATTGGTTATTTTGAAGTTAATTGTATTGACAGCCCAAAGCATACTGAGTTCAGACTTCTGTATTATAAGCCTTCATTTTGCTCATTTTGAATCGCTATGGTATTTTGAGAAGTCCATCCTAATCCATACATCACACCAAAACCGTGTTTTACTATTGAAGGAAGGTTCATATAGAGGAATTTACAATGGGTGCAATTCTCATGTACCACATTTCTTATACAGCTCAAACAACTTATATACACTGTACTAGTTTATGCCAATAGCTGGAAGGCACCAAATTGAGGAAAACCAATGAAGGTTATCAGGACTCAGACTCCAAGTAAAACAGTCCTCATGAAATAAATTACAATGAGCATATTTTATTCAACAATGGGAGAAATGCTATGGCCGTACTATCTCCAAATACAATTCTGTGACATAAACAAAGGACAAAAGATCACAAACATGTTGCATGCAATTTGTATGTACTCTTGTGCTTAAGAGTCCCAGCTCTTTCAGAAGCTCCTATAAAGACTCTTCATTATTTTCCAGACCAGAGACATATGCAAAGCTTGCATTTGAAATTAGTATTACTGGCCTCCTGTTGAGCTTACTGAAACTCTGACCGTACCGATGCTAATTATGTGCAGGTGTGTCACTACAAAACAATGAACTGTAGAGAAACTTTTTTTTAAATGCATGACTGATGTATTCAAGAAAACAGTCCCAACTGGTCTCATTTAATCTTTCACAATAGAACATATGTTGCTATGAGATAAGCCCATTAGTCATGGCTACTGTTAGCCATATGTTGGCCTAGACACACTGAATGATTAAGATCCTCAGGGCATTCAAATGTCACAAAAATGAGGCACCAAAAGATGAGGCCCTGAACATGATGGGTCAACATTGCCTCCATCCCATCCTCTCAGCACACTGGGGTAAAGAGGAAGTTTTAAAGTTAAACAGCTTTTTTAAAATGTGGTGATCAATACATTAATTAGGCAAAAGAGGTGCTATTATGAAGCAAAGACAATGGAAATCCCTCAAAATGGGGAAAGAGCAGATTATAGCAGATTATAGCAGATTTTAGCAGATCTGACAGCTTAAAGCTATATGACCTGGGCTGTGAGAGATGTTGACTCATCTATAGCTGGCCAGATGCCACCACAGATTCATCTATAGCTGGTCTTTGCCACTATGAGCTCAAGCTTATAGTCTGAAAGATGCAGTAAGAAGAAAGGGTCTTTTGTCAGTAAAGGCTTCTCCTTTAGCAAATGGCACTGAGCTTTTCTTTGGAGAGTTGTCCTATCTAGAATTTCTTCTCCTGTTACCACTATTATTGTATTCATATTGTTTGAGCCCCATTATAGTATACCATATATTAGTATCCATGCCTCTTTTATGATTTGTAGGATGGCATAAACACTTAGGATAAATAAATAAGAAACAAATTTTAAGATAAAGGAATAAAGTTATATGAGAAATACGAAACAAATATTTACTTAGTTTAAGCATCACTAACCAAAATAATAATCTTCATCCCTCATTTCAGCAACCAAAGCTAGTAAAAATGAGCCCTACTATACGCAAAAGTTACTCCAAAGTACAACCAATATGACATTTACATATTGTATTAATGTATATGAAGATTTTTTTTATAATAACAGGAGTTATTTCTTATCTACATATGAAATAATTCTAATACTGTACTATTCTGGTTTGCAGACATGATATTTATTATTTATTACCAACACTGGCCTTCAAGACTTACACACTTCTCTCTTCACATGCAATCTGGCATCCCTTGTGATGTTTAAATATTGGCATGCAAAACCTAAGCTGCTTAAAATATACTTATTACAAGAAGCTATTTTAATAAACCATAGTTTAACTATGGATTAACCTGTTTAACCACTGCTTTTGAGGTTGAACAATATGATAAATGACACTCAACAAAAGTTAAATTGTTCCTCATGAAGAAAAGGAAGCAAAGAGATGGGCAGAAATTAGGCATAATTTAATCACAATAAACAGAAAGATACAATGAAATTCAAATGCAATACATACTCGATCAACAGTTTAAATGGGCTTGCTTTCTTACTATCAGCATTCCAGAAGTTCACGATTTACCTATCAGCCCAAGCATCAGAAAGGACTGAGAGAACTGTTTTAGACAGTACTTCTTAACCTTAGCAACTTTAAGATGTGTGGCTTTCTGGAAGACATCTTAAAGTTGCGATGTAGAGAAACGCTGGGTTAAGATGACTATGAGGCACTAGATGACCTAGTTCTGGTCTCTACAATTTTCCAGAGAGTCAGAGACTCTTTTCCCAAGAGTAAACTCTGCCTGTTCTTTAATATGAGGCAGGATAAGCAACATGAATTTCGATCAACTCACTGCACTTAGCAATTATATATCCATTTATCCATCATCACCTGACCAAACAACCATCTACTATCAGCTTCAACATAATGCCTGCCTGATGCCATCTTAAAAAAACATACAATTTCACACACATGCACACAATTTCATTGACAGAAATTGCTGTTAATTTACAGTGGTAGATCCTCATTAATCAAGCTTACCTTGGCTGCCTGAGGTGTACAGGCAATATGCACTGTACTAGGTTTCACCCCATTTGCTTTAGGTCTTTTAAATAAAGCAAACCTACTTTTTCTTCTTCCTCTATCTCCATTTGGCAGGGAGCCATTATATCTGTGGAAAACAGTGCAGGAAGAATTGAAGAGATGGGAGGATTATTAGGTGATAAAGGCTCTGAATTAATTTGTACATAATTCCATAATGTTGTAGAACTGAATATTTTAGAAATAACTTTCTAAATATTTTTAATACATTATTGCAATATACATCATACTTTTTAAGTATATACATCATACTTTTTAAGTCATACTTTAGAGGTATGTGTTCTTACAATCTTTGTGTTCTTTTAAGGGATTAAAAGAACACAAAGATTGTAAGAACACATACCTCTAAAGAAAAAATCAGGCAAATAACAAACTACAAAATGTTGGAGGTTACTTCAGATGGATGTAAGAGCCAAATAGGAAAATGGGCATTGGTAGAAGTTACCGTGAACGCCCTTTCTATCTCTGCTGCAAGAGAGCCCAGGATGGGTTGGCTCCTTCCTATGACGTCAATTAGCTGAGTCTGTACTAAGATATAAAAGCCAGTCCCCAGGAGAGACCCCAGCTTTTGGCGAGATACTTGACAGACTGAAAGGTGTCTCTGAAAGCCCAAAATAAATACAGAAATATGTCTTACCCTCTCCGGATGAATCAAGGGAGGGGCTGAGCTCTCTCGCAGCACAGATAGAAAGGGCGTTCACGGTAACTTCTACCAACGCCTATTCTCCTCCATGCTGCATCGAGAGCCCAGGATGGGACATACCAAAGCTTGCATGTCCTCCGGCTCATCACACCAACTGTGGAACCACTCGTTGAAGCACCCATCTGCCGAACGCTGCATTTGCCAAGGCAAAAGCATCCAGACAGTAGTGTCTGATGAAAGGAGACGGGGATGTCCATGTGGCCACACAACAAATCTCCTCCAAGGGCGCTTGGGTCGCCCAGGTAGCAGAAATGGCTGCGCTTCTGGTAGAATGCGCCATCAGACCTCAGGGAACCGGAAGGGCTGCTTTGTAGGCCTGATCAATGCAAGACCTGACCCACCTGCTAATAATAGAAGAGGTCTTGTGCCCCAAGTGAGAAGGGAAAAAGGAAACAAACATGGCTTCCGACTTCCTGAAGGAGCAAGTGCGCTTAATGTATATTATAAGAGCCCTTCTTATGTCTAGCATGTGCCACTGCCGCCCTAGGTCATGGTGTGGGAGAGGACAAAAGTCAGGCAAAACAATGTCCTGGGACCTGTGAAACCAGGTGTTAACCTTCGGAATAAATGAGGGGTCCAGATGAAGAGCAACCCTATCATCGTGAAAGGAACAAAGGTCCTGTCTGATGGAAAGAACAGCAAGCTCAGAAACCCTCCTGGCAGAAGTGATGGCAACAAGGAACACTACCTTCAGAGTCAGGAAACGGAAAGACACTGTCCTAAGGGGTTCAAAGTGGGGTTTTGTAAGGGCATTAAGGACCATATGAAGGTCCCAGGAAGGATACCTGTGAACCACCAGAGGGTGCAGGTTGGAAGCCCCTTTCAAAAACCTCCTGACTGAAGTGTGATGGGATAAGGAAGGAAGCAAATCCCATGAAAGGACCGAGGAGAGGGCCGCAATCTGCCTGCGTAAGGTGTTGGGGGCCAAACCTTTCTCCAGCCCATGCTGAAGGAAGCTAAGAACTTCTGCCAACTGGGCTGAAGCAGGAGAAAGACCCTCCCTGAGGCACCATCGGGAAAAAGCCTTCCAGGTGGCATCATAGATGTGCCTTGTAGGAGGTTTGCGAGATGCCAGGATAATTAGGATGACCCTTTCTGGAAGTTCAGCCTCCTCTAGTAGCTGCTGCCGCTCAAGTGCCACACGGTCAGATTGAACCACTGAGGCTCTGGGTGGAGCAGGGCCCCCTGGTGAAGGGAGATTAGATGGGCTGGGATCCTCCACGGAGAAGCCATCGATACGTTGACCAGGTCCACAAACCAGGGCCTCCTTGGCCAATAGGGTGCCAGGAGGAGGAGGAGGAGCTCCGCACGTTCCTCCAACATCTTCCGAATTACTGCCGGAATGATGGGAAGTGGGGGAAAGGCATAGAGGAGACCCTTGGGCCATCTGCACTGAAGAGCATTGGTCCCCCACGCTACCTGGCAAGGAAACCTGGTGAAGAATCTGGTGACTTGGGCGTTTTGAGGAGTGGAGAAGAGATCCACCTCCGGTGTTCCGAATCTGAGGGAAAGATCCCTGAATAGAGACGGAGGAATGGACCATTCTGCCTGGTCGATTAGGCTCCTGCTGAGCCAGTTGGCCTGGGAGTTGTCGACCCCAGAGATGTGGTCCGCCAAGATCAACAACAGGTGTTTCTCTGCCCATAACCCCAACCATAGAGCCTCTCTCATGAGGGCTTTGGACCTCGTCCCCCCTTGCCGGTTGACATAAGCCTTTGTGGCCATATTGTCCATAAGGACTAGAACATGAGAGCCGGTCACTGATTGCCTGGAATGCTTGAGAGCCAGAAAAATGGCTCTGAGCTCTAGCCAATTTATGGGAAGGATCTGCTCTGATCTGGACCAAACGCCCTGAGCTATCTGGCCCTGCATATGGGAACCCCAACTCAGGAGGCTGGCATCAGTGGTTATCACTAACCTGTCTGGGTCCCTGAACAGGAGTCCCCTCCAGATTGACGGGGAATGCCACCAATTGAGAGATCTCCTTGTGGCTCGGGAGTCACTTCCTCTGGCGACAGCTTGGCAGTGACCAAGGCCTTGCTGAGTAATGGCCTGAAGAGAGTAAGTTTGAAGACCAATGCAGAGGATATCTGCTCTGGGTGAGAATCCTCTTCCTCTGAAAGATTTTGGTCAAAAATCTCAAACTCTGAATGAGAAGAGTAACTGTGTTCAGATGGTGAAGGCCTTCCTTCCTCATCAACCTCCTCCCATTCTGGTAGAGAAGAATGGACCCTGAGGTCCTGAGGCCTGTGTAAATCAGGATGATGAGGCAAGGAACTTATAGATTGAGAAGGAAGAAGGGCCTGAACCCTTTCCAGAGGTTGAATAATTTTCTTGAAGCTTTCAGCCAATCCCTGCCTAATGGCTGATGAGACTACATCTTGGATATCCCTGTGCACAAAGGTAGAGGCAGAAGGCCCACTGCTGTGGGAGTGAAGGTGGCTTCAGGCCTAGATTGAGGGGAGGTTCGAGGCCTGGAGGGAGGGGGAGGAGCATAGGGCACAGAAGCCTGTTGGAAATAAGGCCCAGATCTGCTTAGATCCTGAGGATCTGATTGTACAGCAAGAGCCTCAGGAGACCAGGATGGAGGATGGAAAGGCTCATAGATAACTTCTCCTCCCCTGGGAGGGCTTGGTTGGGGACCATGAGTATCACCTGAAACATACTGTAGTTGTACTCCCTTCTGTTGAATAGTTCTGTTGAACTGCCTCTCTAGAGCTGCATGTCTGCACTTTTCTACCCTCAATTCAGCCTGAGTTGCCTTCTTAGGGGCTAGAGCCTTAGCTTTGATTTTAGCAGCCACCTCCCTCTGGACTGATTGGGTGCATTGCCTACGTTTTTTTCTCTTATTGGGCTTAAGAGACTGTTCCACTGGGGGGGGGGGGAGCTCTGCCTGAGCCTTATCTTGCTCCATTTGCAGAATAAAGGCTTTTGCGTTGGAAAGAAGCTGTTTAGAAATCTTTCTATTAAGCCCCTTCGGGTATAAATGGCCCCTGGGCTTACAAAATGGCCGCTCACCTCGTGGTGGAAGGCTTGAATCCAACAGGGCCACTGGCTACAGGAAAACAGGCTCCAAGATTGAAGAATCGCTCCTTAGGCTATACAGAGCCGCGAGCGAAGTCAGCAAAGGAAAAACGCAGCAACCAGCTACACGATCAGCTGGCTTGCCCTCTTAGCAGTTTGCCGATCATTTTTACGATCGCTCCAAACCGCAGGCGTGGGGAAGGTCTACAGACGCTGCCCAGCTTGCCTGCACAGAGCTCTGTAACGCTGCTCCCAACGTTGCAGGAGAGAGAGAGCCCTGCTCTCCTGGAAGAGCAGCTGCCCAGATCCCTTGGAGCTGCTTGAAGCGAGGAAAAAAGTACTGAAGATCGCTGGTGATTGCTATTTAACAGAATGCTTTCAGAGACACAGCTACTGACTGAAAGGAGCTGAGTCAAAAGCTGGGGTCTCTCCCGGGGGCTGGCTTTTATATCTTAGTACAGACTCAGCTAAATGATGTCATAGGAAAGAGTCAACCCATCCTGGGCTCTCGATGCAGCATGGAGGAGAATGATACAGCACTTTGTATTGCAGAATTGCAGTTATACATTTCCTATTTAGCAACCAAATTATAAAATATTTGCAAAAAGCTTTGTCAGAAATAGATTGTTTTGATGGTTCACATCCAGTGATGTTATTGTAAAAAACCCTGGACAAATCAAAATTTTTCAAGTTATATACTTTACATGAGTATTTTGTTAAATCTACTACATATTAAGTTTTATGCATTCCTAAGACTTACAACAAACAGGTTCAGGTATATGAATGCAGAAATCAGATATTTACCTAAAGTAATAGGAACGCCATACCCTTTTCAATTAGTTTTCATTCATTATATATTCTGTATAATTTGTAGCACAGAGAAAATTGAGCCACTCTTTTATTTTATCTTTATTTTAAGAATAAATCTCCTGTGCTGACAATTAGTTTAGCAACAATTATTGTAAATACTAATATATAAATGTTATAAATGCCATTCTAAAGTTAAGCCCAAATGATTTCATAGGGGGAAAAACTTAAAACCTGCACTCAAATTTCTCTTAGTGAAATTTGATGAAGCTTAGAAATGTTTGGTTGCATCACATACAACTCAAAAGACTATGTGGGCATGATCTAACCCTGATGCCTCTGACGCTAATGTTGGAACATTTCAGACTGATGCTAATGTCAGTCTGAAATCAGGATCCCAAAACAAGCTGCACTGCAAGGAACTGCCATGTTTCAAAGAATCACATTGCAAGGAAACAAGGAAAACAAGAAAAAACTTTGGTTTGCAGGATTAACTAAAACTCCTCTTTTAGAAGTTCTGATGTCAGTGCCAGATACTTACCCCAACACAATCAGTTCACCATACTTCACTGGTGCTTTTGATGGATGATTTTCTTGATCAGGCGAAAACATGAGCCTAGTTAGATCCTTTTTCTCAAATTCCACTTCTCTAATCAAGAATCTTGGCACACTTTTGTCATTTCCTAAACAAAAAGAAATAAATATGATGGAGAATGCCACATCTTAGAATCTGGTATTATGTAAACAAAATCCACAATCTATAAAAATTTCAGCAGAGATTCCTAAAGTATTCTGTTATCACTTGCTAGATGCATAGATCGCAACATATAGCTGAAATGACAACCCTTCCTAATTTGCTTCAAGTAACAGGGGATGGGTTGAATTAGTACATTAGGAGTCCTTGATTTATCATTCATTCAGCAACTGTTCAAAGTTATGATGGTGCCAAGTGAAAGGACGTACAAATTGACATCCAAACTTACAGGCCATTGCAGCGCCCCTTGTGGTCCTGTGACCAGAATTTGGGCATTTGGTAGCTCACCCATATTTATGACCACAAAGGCACTTCAGCTCCCTTCACCTACTTATGTTCACCCCATTTCTGTCCTTTTTAATGTTCTGCACAGAGGCATTCCTTGGCAGCATTAGCGCTGAGGCTGAATTAGAGGCCCAGGGCCTTCAGCAGTCTCAGCCATCTGCCACAGCTCCCAGGCCTCTACTTCAGTCCCAGTCCCAGCCTCAAGCTGCACGCCATAGCCAGCCAGTCCAGTGCAAAGCCCCACTGCCACGCGCTCCACCGACTGCTGTATCCAGCTGACCTTCACTGTGTTTCTCCTCCTCTCCTTCCCCCCTCACACTTTTCATTGGCTGCCCATGCCACTTCCATAATACAACTGCTGTGCTTTCACCTCAGGCGCCTCTTGTTCATTCCTTCTTTTTCTTCATGGTCTCCATAGCCAACAATTACCATGACTGCCCAGTAGTGCAGTGAAAATAAGAGTGCCAGTCAATGGGGAAGACAGTGGTTACACCCAATGGAAAACAGCTGCAGGTTGGCTCAGGGAGCCACATGTAAGAGAAGCGGAGCCAATCCTGGCACTTTCCCACTGTATGAAGCCACTTCCTACATTGCCTCTTTGCAAAGAGCTCCTGAACTAGGCTGGCCGGCCTTGTGGTACACCCCCCCGCCCATTTTTGCAGTGCAAAATCAGCCCCATATGGTCTAGGAGCTTAGTGCGAAGGGGCACTTTGGCACACTCCAGCCTCTTTAAGGTGCTTCCCTTACCTCCCTTTTCTTTTGCCTTGAAAATCCAGTTGCGTATAGCCCAGAAATCAGGCTTGGCATGCCTTGCCAGGAAAGGAGTATGAAAATGGCAACTAAAGTCAGCTGGAGCAGCAGAGAGCAGACGGCAAGGCCCAAAAGGGCAGAGGGGGAAAGGGTTAGGTAGGTGGAAGAAGTTGGTGGCAGTGTCAAACTGTTTGGGACGTCAAGGACCAAATCTGGAATGGCTTGGATTTGGATGGCTATTTGGCTAATGATTGGTAAAATTTGCTCAATGACGGCAATGCGAATTGTGGGGATTGCAGTCACTAAGTGATATAATCATACAATGCCTTGCTTTGTGATTGCTTAGCTACCAAAATTCTGGGCTCAACTGTGGTTGTAAGTCAAGAACAGTCTGTATTTCAATGAATAAGTTTTTTTTTAAAAAAAAACAGAAAATATGCCAATTTAAAAGCAAAAACAGTTTTTACTTCTTCTCAAACACAACAACATAGTTTTTCTTTCATATTTACTGTCTACCAGCATTAATTCGACTGTATAGGACAGAACGTATAATAAACAAGCATTAATTCACTATGCATTTTTCTGCTCTCATGTATTTAGAAGTAGTTCTTTAAATTACAACATTAAGTTTGAAGAAGCATTTTGCTCTGAAATGAAAATCTGTGCACAATGAAAGTCTGGCAAGGGGAAGGCAGTCTTTTGACATACCAGTAAATGCATACCATCTGATTTACATGGGTGGTCACAGATTTACACTCCACTTTTCCTCCAAAAGTTTTATAACTCAAGTCAGTCCAAGCTTGAATGATTATAATCTGTTTTACTGGTGGTCCAAAGAGGAACAAACATTTCACCCATTGTTTTATCGCTTCATATCGATGCATACACACTTGTAAATTGTATTGCATATGACTTTCTATGTCCATGAACCATCAGACCTCCCCACCCCTTGATTTTAAGTTCTAAAATCAGAACTTAACCACTTAACCATTAGAACAGCAAGTTCGAATTTTTCAGTCTTACTGCTACATACCACAGCACCCTCAAAGTGGTAAAGTCTACAATTTAGGATGGAGAGAATGACCACTATTGCAAAAGCAAGCAACGTCAAAGGTGTTACAAAAGTGCCACTCAATTTCACAGTGGAATGGGGAAGTCAACCCACATTAATACCATACCAAGAAAAATGTCTCTAGACATCTTGCTTAGATGTGCAAGTACCAAATTAAAATCTTTATTATAATATCTCCATTTGTATATTTAGTACTACTAGATCTATGCCTTAAAGATTCCGTTAACTAACACTAGACTGAATCAGAATACCATTTTAGTAAAATGATGAAAGACTGCTAAAAAGATGTTCTAAAACTTAATAAAACTAACCCTCAACTTACAACCATTTGGGACTGGAATTTGTGTTGCTAATCAATGCAGTTCTAAAGACTACATCTCAGTTGCCATCATAACTCATGGTTCATTAAGTGGGAAGTGGAACAAATCTCAAAATAAAGACTGTGGAAGTGCCACGGGAGGAGTCCCGAGGGGCCTGGTGCAGATAGGGAAGGGGAGTTGTCGCAGCGCAAGTTCAGGGTGACCAGGGAAAGAGAGGTGTGTGCATGCATACAAGTTGAGGGAGATGGAGGAAAAATTTGCTGCAGCTCAGGGGCTTCTTGGTGCACTGTGGTTCTGGGGTTACAAGAAGTCCAAGCCACAGTGTAGCAGAGCATAAAGCACAGCCACAGCTGCACAGCACAAAAGGGTTTTTTTTTTGGCCACCCCAGAGCTGCAACTGGGCTTTGGGCGCAAAGGAATTGGCACTGCCTTGCAGTGTGAAGCTCAGCCTTAGCTGGGTCCAGCAACATGGGTCAAAGGGGCCTCTTGCCACCTGGGAACCCAGCTCAGTCCCTGCCACAGTCACCCTCGACATTCTGGACTCTGAACCCCCTGCATTTCACCACCCCAGCTGACATGTGCTTTCCTCTTGCTCCCGCTGACAAGGCATGCCCAACCCGGCCCTTCACAACCAGTTGTAAGTCTCTTTGTTTAACAGTACCATACTGTAACTTCAAATAGTTAATGAATAAATGGTTGTAAGTCAAGGGCTACCTGTAGGAGTAAAAAAATTAGAATGCTATAATTTGCCAGATCAGTTCATGTTTTTTCTTGGGGCTACAAGGGAAACACTACTCAATAGATCAAATGTTAAACTCTCTGGCTTCAATTATTACATTAAATTTAGATAAATTTAGATTTTAAATTGATCCAAACATTTTAATAATATGTTGCATGCTACTGAAACTTTTAAGGATTGATTCCCCCCACCCCAAATAGTTTTCTGATAGTATTGCAATTAAGATTTTTTTCACTTTGAGAGCCCCCAAATTAGGTATACAAATGTGTAAAAAAAAATGCCCCATGGTTTATTTTGCTGACTGATTACAAGCAAAGATGCTGAACACTACATAGCTTTAAAATCAAGCAGGGACAAAGAGCTTGTTTTCTGAACCTGGCAGACTTCAGGCAGGAAAGGCTGGGAAGGAATCTATTATAAATTTCCCCCAATGTAGGGTTCTCTAGGTGTGCTGAGTTTCAAATCCCATCATTTTCAATCAGTGTGTTCTCAGCATTCTTAAGGGTGTCAGCCAGTTCTACAAAAACAGAACTGGTAAGACAGCAAGCATTGTCATTTATGCAAATTCTCTTGTTAAAAAGTTTACATGGGTTTCAGACATCTTTTTTTCTGATATAATGGCTCTACCTGTACATAAATTACTCTGATCTATTCCTTATGGCCATTAAGAAAGGGACAACAGTGTGCAAGAAATAGAACCTCATTTCCATAAGTTATACCTCACGATTTCAAAGTAATCAATATTAAGAGTCTTATGCTAGGGCAATGGTTCTGGGAGCTTACAACCACATTTGGTTTATAATATAACCTGTTCTAAATATTAAAATTGGCCTTAACTTCAGAAAAATAGGTAAGCGACTAGGATAAAAAGCTAAGCAAACTAAGCAAAAGCCATAGAAAGAAAAGAAATAAAAAAGCCACAGAACACTTTCCAATTATGAAAGAGCAACAGCTGATCCTCTTCTGAGGAAACCACACATCATCATATATTTTATATGTGATGTTCTCAACTTCCCACACACAGATTTTCAGAATTACACATATTTTTGCACAGCTATTTAAAATTTGTTAGCGTGATATTATCATCTTCCAGTAAAATTTATTTTTAGCGTCAGAATAGTATGGCTACCTACTATGTTTCAATTCCACCCCACACCTCATCCCCTAATTAACAATGTCCTTGAACAGTTATACATATTCAAGCCATTTCAGAGCTTTAACAAATAACAATTATTACCAAATGAGAGTAAATTACACAAGGCTGTCTGAACAGCTCTCTCAAAGAAACGTAAAAGTTCTTTTGGTTCCTGAGTCCATCAAATATAGCTAGATACTTCTTGAAAAAAGGCATCTTTCCTTTATTGTACTGTGTTTCTCCAACAATACGGCCTCCACCAATAGGAAGGCCCAGCATGATTTCTAGGCATGAGGTGAAATTAAGCCACACCCCCAAAATTTAGGCCTATTTAAACCATGCGTTTCCCTGCCATTTCTCACATCGTTTGTTAGAACTACACGAGGTGAAGAGAAATGGGGGGAAGGGAAGGGGGGGAGAAAACTTGCCTTTAGGAGGGCCATTGCAGATAGCCTAGGCTAGAATACCCTGATCTACTACTGATAGAACATCAGCCGATATAAGCTCCCCGAAGGCAGAGTCACCAGCTGCTTCTATTGGCCGGTAGAAGCGACCTCGGGGCGAGTGCCCATGTGCACTCCCTTCACCACGAGGCCATTTCTATCGGCCGAAGGAAGCAGCTGGTGAC